CTTTGAGATTTTAAGACCTGGTACAGAACCTGGCACATAGTTAAGTCATTAGTAAAATAAATAAACTAGAAAGATTCTATAATTTGTGTGGGAAAATACTTCTGGAAAATAGGTATGGGCATTATGCTCCTGATCAGAAAAGTCATTGCCTATTATAGAACTCTCTTCTCCATAAAGACTAATTGAGAGTAGAGACCTACCGTCCAGTTCTCTTCCCTGGGGATTCTATTTTTCTTCTCTATACTACATGACTGTTAGCATAACTTGTTTGCAATTAACCTTATATGACCTAGTAATATGTATTGTATTTTTATTTAACTTGATTACTATTCATAGTTTTTGTTCCTGTATTTTCCAGAAAGGCATATCATGTCCTGATATGCCCAGTGTAAGCAGTAGATGCAGAATATCCTTCCTACACATTTCATTGTTAATCACTCTATTCTGACAGTTTTGTTTTCATATTGTGATGTTTGAGCTCTCAAGCCTGTTTATTCTTTTCTCAGAGTGTTAACCAATGAAATTTCAATACCGAGCCTTGAAACTAGCTACTGTCTAGCCACAGTTTAAATAATTGTCACAAAATTAAAAAGGAGAACTGCCACCCTCTTCCTTTCCACTTACAAAAAATCAGGTAACAGGTTCATCATTAAACTATTTCTTATCAATGTTGTACATATAAGAAGATAGATCTGAACTTCAGAGATTGTTTTTTTCCGTGAACTGTAATCTCTAAAAAGACTATATAATTCCAATTGGTTGCCTTATTTACTATGTGGTCCTTGCAATACTATTTAAATGGGTACAACTTCTTTTGAAATAAGAATTACTTGTGAGTTTTCTTTAATGAGCCATAAGAAGATTATTAGCTCGTCCTTTTTTTCTACCACCGGAATAGAGATTAAAATGAATAAAACCTGCAGCTTAGGGGATTTCTCATTTAAACAGAGTTAAGTAGTCTAGTGTCATCTCTATGCCTCAGTTTTCATCATTATTAAAAAGAGTATATAAAGACATAGGGCTTTTTGTTATAAAGTTAAATTAGTTATAATAGTGACTGACTCAAAAGTACCACATAAATATTAGCTCTTTCTAGTTCTGTGCGCTCCTGAGTGTGGTGTGTACACAGAGCAGTGTGTACTACAAAGGGCTGAATGAGACCATTGACGGGTCTTGAAAAGAGATGGTGTTGTGGGGAGAAAAAAACACTGATTTGGGGTCAGAAGACCTGATTTTGAGTTCAACATCACATTCAATAGCTGCGGAGCTTTGAACAAATCATGTAGCCTTTCTGAGTCCCCTTTCCCTGATGTGGAAAGTAAGAGTAACAATAACCTGTCTTGATCCTTAGAATTTCTTTGAAAATCCTCCAAATTAATGAATGTGAAAATGCTTTGCATCTGGGAATATTTTATGATGATGTGAATGCTAATTGTAATAAAAGGATAAGTGGATTCTCATTCTACAGGTTTTGAGCCAGGAAGATGAGGATACATTAGTATGTTCTAGATAGAACTTTAGAGTCCATCTCTCAGGCTACAGTGACTTTTTAAAGCATCATCATATTTATTCAAAACTTTTTCATTCAATAAACATTTTTTTTTAAATTAAATCTTTATTGTTCAGATTATTACATTTGTTCCTCTTTTTTTCCCCCCCATAACTCCCCTCCTCCCAGTTCCCGCCCCACCCTCCGCCCTCACTCCCCACCCACTGTCCTCATCCATAGGTGCACGATTTTTGTCCAGTCTCTTCCCGCATCTCCCACACCCCTTTCCCCCCCAGGAATAGTCAGTCCATTCCCTGTCTATGCCCCTGATTCTATTATAATCACCAGTTCATTCTGTTCATCAGATTATTTATTCACTTGATTCTTAGATTCACTTGTTGATAGATGCATATTTGTTGTTCATAATTTGTATCTTTATCTTTTACTTCCTCTTCCTCTTCTTAAAGGATACCTTTCAGCATTTCATATAATCCTGGTTTGGTGGTGATGAACTCCTTTAGCTTTTCCTTATCTGTGAAGCTCTTTATCTGACCTTCAATTCTGAATGATAGCTTTGCTGGATAAAGTAATCTTGGTTGTAGGTTCTTGGTATTCATCACTTTGAATATTTCTTGCCACTCCCTTCTGGCCTGCAAAGTTTCTGTTGAGAAATCAGCTGACAGTCGTATGGGTATTCCCTTGTAGGTAACTGAGTTTCTTTCTCTTGCTGTTTTTAAGATTCTCTCTTTATCTTTTGCTCTTGGCATTTTAATTATGATGTGTCTTGGTGTGGTCCTCTTTGGATTCCTTTTGTTTGGGGTTCTCCGCGCTTCTTGGACCTGTAAGTCCATTTCTTTCACCAGGTGGGGGAAGTTTTCTGTCATTATTTCTTCAAATACGTTTTCAATATCTTGGTCTCTCTCATCTTCTGGCACCCCTATAATTCTGATGTTGGTACGCTTGAAGCTGTCCCAGAGGCTCCTTACACTATCCTTGCATTTTTGGATTCTTTTTTCATTCCGCCCCTCCGGTTGGGTGTTTTTTGCTTCCTCGCATTTCAAATCATTGACTTGATTCTTGAGCTCCTCTGGTCTGCTGTCGGGAGTCTGTATAATATTCGTTATTTCAGTCCGTGTATGCTTAATTTCTAGTTGGTTCCCCAATATAAGATCGAGGGTCTTATTAGTTTTCTTGTAGATCTCATTAAGTTTATCGGCGGCTTCTAAACAGTTCTTGAGAGACCTTAAAAGTGTGGTTCTGAACTCTATATCTTCCATTGACAATTTTGTCCTGTTTCTTTGTCTCCGCATTTTGTTATGCTTCCTTGGTGCACCCCCTAGTGGTCTTTGTTCGAAGTCTTATAGTTAAATCTTGATTGTTGTAGCTAATTCCAGGGAGGGTTTGACCTCCAGGCCAAGTGGCTATGAGAATCAGCTGTGTCAGTAGTGAGAGAACTTCTGTCCTCTAGGGAGGTGCTAATCTAGCCTTTGCCTGAGGCTATCCGGCAAAAGCCTCTGTGCAGGGCTTGGGCGGGGCGGGTCGCACAGGATCAACAGGGTGGGCCGGACAGAGCAGTTATGGCGGCTCTCAGTCCTGTCCCCAGGGGCTCTGCCTCTCTGAGTCCCAGCACCCGCTGTAAAGCTCAGAGAGAAAGCTGCACTCGCTCTGACCGAAGCCAGACAGTCCGCTTCTCCCGTTTGAGTCTGGGTCCCTAAAGACTCGCCCGGATCTGGAGCTCAGAGTCTGCGACTCCCTCCCGATTGAAAACGCCAACCGCGCCCTCCGCGGCCAGCCCGCTCGCGCACTCCGCACCTCAGAATTTGACTTCAGCACTGCGCCTCCTCTGAGTGTCCGTATGCGTTTCTCTTTCCTCCTAGTTGTAGGACTTCCACTCAGCCAGCGTTCCTGTGGTTCTGGGTGATGTCCCTTCCGTTTTTTGGTTTCACTTTTGAAGTAGTTGTTCAAAGCAGCAAACTCCGGCGTTAATCTATGCCGCCATCTTGGTTCTCCTCAATAAACATTTTTTGAGAGAATGCTAAGCACCAGGCACTTTGCTAAATGTCAAGGATACAAAATCATATATGACAGAGAATTTGCTTTCACGGAGCTTTTTCCACTTAGTACAGAAAGAAAAATGTAAATAAATATAGACAGTAAGTTTTAATAGTGTATATTAAACCTTATCATTATATCTTATATATCATTTAAGTATAGAAGAAGTAGATGGGGGAAGTAGTTGAAGGGGTGATGTTCAGTTCTCAGATGACAGAACAAGGTTTGCGCCTTTCCTTATTCCTTCCATACTCAATCCTCCCAGACTCCTGCTACCTGATGACTGAGCAAAGGCACACATGTGTGGGAGAACCATATGACACATAAGGCAAGATCACTGAACACTTTGCTCAGGTCAGCTATGTTATATAGGCAAATCATGTGTGTGTTTAGGGGCAGGGAGGATGGAATAATGGCTAACAAATATAAGGTTGCTTGGAAAATTCTAGCTATAAGTTATAACTACAAAACAAAAGCAAACTTTTCTAAGTACATGATAAAAAACCATACTAAGTGCTTCACTGAGTTATGAACCCATAACCTCAGTCATAAGAAGTAGGCTTCTTATGCAATTCCCCATTATTATTTGCATGAGTACCAACATTTCAGTGTAGACATGAATACTCACAATGGATTTAACAACCTATCATAAAGTTTGTACCAGGGAGATAGCTTAATGTAGTGGAAAGAAACAGTCATTACATATTTGAGTAAAAGAAAGGACGTGGAGAAGAAAGGAGGAAGAAAGGGAAGAGAAAGAAAAGAACTAAAGACAGTGGCAAAGGAGAGAGGGAAGATATAATGGGTATTAGAACTGAATGTTTAAACCCTTGACTCTCTCAAGTTACATAAAGTTTGACAAGTTATTTAACCTCTCTGAACCTTATTCTCTTCATCTGAACATGGGGCAATACCTTTCAGGGTAATTGTGAGAATTAAAAATTACTTTTATAACATTCTTGGTAAATAACGAGTGCTCAATAACTTGTTGGTAATTCTTGCATTTAGGTAAATGGTGATGCTGCTACCACTTATCAATGTCACCAAATTGTGGATAGCATTATGTTACACATTTTCTTACATAGTTGTATGCAGAACTATACATATTATAAAGGTGTAGTTTTTAGAACAGAATCCTGGATTTGTAAAAAAAAAAAAAAAAAGAAAAAAAAAGCATTTAAAAATATAAATAATATACCTTAAAGAGGCATGTTTCTCAATGTTCAATTGGATGCACATATTCTAAGAAAATCTAAATAAAAACACTAGCCCCTTTACATGTATCGAAGGAAGAAACAAGCATCAAGCACCCGAACACCATTTAAGCTGTAACATGTACCTGAAACCATAATGCTCTCATCATTTTTCTTTTGTAATTAAGGTGCTTTTGAGTCATAACTGAAAGTCATTTTTTTTTTTTCTTGAATGGTGGGAATGAAGATTAAGGAGAAATACTCACGGATAGGATCTGGTCTCCTCTCTGGAGCTCTCCACTCAGGTCTGCTGGTCCACCGGCCAGAATGAAGGACACAAAAATCCCTTCTCCGTCTTCCCCGCCCACAATGTTGAAGCCCAGGCCAGTGGAGCCTTTGTGCAGCACCACCTTGCGGGGCTCCCTGCAGAAACAAGCAGAGAACACAGCTCAGAGGTGACCCAATCAAGACTTAGATGGCTTTTACTTTCACTGGGATATGAGATACCAGCAATTCACTTACTTCACTTCCCAAAGTAAGATAGATCTTCATATCAAGAAAGATGTTACTATCAGGGAAAGTACTGAATTCCTCACTGAAATAAGTGCCAAAATACCATGCAAAGCCATTTCTTAATTCCAAAACATTTCCCTAAACTAGCCTTACTTCCACTTTAGCATCATCTAAAACATCTGTTTTTATACTGAGCACCAAATAGCACTCTTTAGGATGGATGTATCCAAAAAGAGAGGGAAAACTTGGGGAGCAAGAAACTAGATTGACTAGGCCAGACATGAAAGGTCTTACAGAGTTAATTAAAATTTACTCTGTAGGTAGTAGGGACTCATTGGAAGACTTTGAGGTACCAGGAATAATTATGATGGGAGGCAGAAAAATCAGTTAGGATGTTGACCAAATGATCCAGGTCCCAGGAAGTGACAGCCTAAACAACGGTGATAGCAGCAATCATGAAAAAAAGGCAACATGAAAAGAAAGTTGGAAAGAGAAACAGTGGGCCCAGACAAGGACCCAGGCATTGGAGGAGGAGGGGAGTAAGATCATCTAAATAAATCACAAAAGGGGAAAGGTAGTGAAGCCCAGGGTGAAGGTAGTGAAGCCCAGAATGAATGTGAATTTTTACAAGTTTCAGTTTCAGATAATGTTGGCACATCCATGTGGAGATGTTTGGAAGCAGTCGGACACAGATAGGATTTGGGACCTTACATCCAGATTTGAGGTCATCAATAAAATGATAAAAGATCATATTTTGAGTCAACAGTTCACTGAGATCATGGAAAGGCCAGAAAATTATGGAATATAAGATTGCAAGGGATCATAGAAGGCACTAGTTCTATTCTCTATGTAAGTAGTTTTAAGAAATGTATTCTGCAAGCCTTAGGTTTGACCAATGTGCCTTTTGCTATTTTCTTTTTTTTTGTTACTCCTCACCCGCGGCTATTTTTCCATTGATTTTTAGGGAGAGTGAAAGAGAGAGGGAAAGACAGAGAGAAACATCGATGTGAGAGAAACACATTGATTGGTTGCCTACTGAATGAGCCCTGTAGGTCAGAAATCTGATTGTTTGTCTAAGTCAACTGTTTGGAATTTCACAAGGCTAAAATCAATGTGTCAGCTGGGCCAAGCTCTATTGGGAAGCTTTGGGGGGCGAGGGGAATCCACTTCCATATCATTCAGGCTGTTGGCAGAATCCAGCTTCTTCCATTTCTTGTGGTTAGTAGGACTGCATGAGTTAGGGTTTTCCAGAGAAACAGAACCAATAGGAGATATAAGGGATTTTATTATGAGGAATTGGCTCATGCAGCCATGGATGCTGAGAAGTCCCAGGATCTACAGGTGGCAAGCTGGAGCCCCAAGGGAGCTGATAGTGGAAGTTTCAGTTCAAGTCCGAGTCTGAAGTCAGGAGAACAATGTCCCAGCTCAAAGACAGTGAGAAAGAGAAAGAGAACATTTTTTCTTACTATGCTTTTTTGTTCTATTCAGGCCCTCCATGGGTTGGTTGGGGTCACCCAAATTAGACAGGGCAATCTGCTCCAGTCCATATACTAATTCAGATGTTAATCTCATCCAGGAATACCTTCACATCACCTAGTTCTTCCTCTCTGCTGCCTGATGGGGGTGCAAGTCCAGCTCTGTTTGGCCCACTGACACCATCCAGTGGAGGGGGTGGGGCATCTCATAACTGCCTCTCCAGGCTGTCCCTGGTGGGGTCAGAACTCTAGCTATTGTATAGTGTACTAGTACTGGAAGGGTGAGGGGATAGTTTTCCCTTTGGTGTTTGGCTGGAGTTGGGGCTACTATTATCAAAAGTTTCCCTGTTCTATTAGCCCACCCTTGCCCCAGGCTTTTGGTATAGGAACAGGCTCTTCTTCTTAAAAAATTATTTGTTTTTTGTTTTGTTTGTTTTTTAAATATATTTTTATTGATTTCAGAGAGGAAGAGAGAGGGAGAGATAGAAACATCAATGATGAGAGAGAATCATTGATCGGCTGCCTCCTGTATGCCCCCAACCGGGGATCAAGCCCACAACCTGGGCATGTGCCCGGACCAGGAATGGAACCATGACCTACTGGTTCATAGGTCAATGCTCAACCACTGAGCCGGGCTAATTTTATTTTTAATTAAGAGGGAGAATTAGAAAGGTATGGGAATACTCTATTTTCGCTGGAGCCAGAAGTCCGGATCTGAACACAATTTTGAAGATAGGTGTCAACAAGGTTTTCATGAAGAGTTACTGTAGAAATCTCCCTTTTCCCGAGTATGAAAACACTCTTACTGGATCCAATGAGATTCAAGCTATACATAGCAAACATAGATATAGAGAAGGGGGCTATTATAACTCTAATGTTTATCCATGTCCTAGACCAGGGGTGGGCAACCCCTGGCACGCGTGCCAAACATGGTACGCCAGTAACTTTTGCTGGCACGTGAAACCCTCTCTTATAATCTTCCATTTACAATTGTGAATCTTTGTTCTCAGTGATGAATTTTATTAAGTCTTGTAATCCGAATAGCCTGACGGATGAAAGCAGTAGCTCGTGCATATCTCTGAAGGTCACGAAATATAAACCTGATGTAAAATCTCTGTCATCAGTGATGCAGCAGCAAAAGTCCCACTGATAATATCAAACGGAGTCATAAAGTTTTCTGTTGGACTATCAGTGTACATGTATACATTAAAAATAAATGTATTTTTCATCATCATATGCTGTGTTTTTGTCGCTCGAATGAATTTTATTATTTCTTCAAGGTTCTTCACATACGTACACCTTAAGAGATATCAAGTAGGCGTAACATGTTCTCAAAAAATTAGGTTTGGCACGCGGAAGAATTTTGAGTCAGTGATTTTGCTGGTTTTGGCAGGCACTCACAAAAAGGTTGCCCACCCCTTTCCTAGACATTGTGCTTGATGCTTTCTGTGCATCATCCCATTTATTCCTCAAAGCAGTCATTGGAAGGAGGTACACTGATGTCTGCAAGTGCTTTGAAACTGATCCAAAAGAAAGATGGATGGTTGATTGATAGATGGATAGGTAACCTGCACAGCAAGTATAGTAACATGTTCATAGTGGAATCTAGGTTGTGCATTATAGTAAAAGTCTTTAAACTTTTATTTGTGCTTGAAAATTTTTATATAAAGTCTAAAGAAAAATCATCAACCTGATGAAGACATTATTACGGCAACTTTTTAAATTAGTGAAATGAAATGCCCAAGTTTTTACTGTTTCTTAAGTTGTAAAGTAAGATTAACACACAGATTCTGACTCAAAATCTCTGAGTCTAGAGCATGATCCATTCCAGAGACTGAAAATCAGCAAGCTGAAGGTTTAATCTGACCTACTGTGTTTACACATTTTTTAATTAGTTTCTTATTTTTAAAATGAGAAAAAAATGCCTAAAATATGGATTTGTGGCTTCATGTGGAATCAGACATTCTATCAACAATGACTCTCACACTTGTTGCATAGCAACCATTGGCTAGAGCTGGGTCCTCTTTAGAGGGATTTATTCTCTAGTGTTCCATCATCTCACCTCTCTCTCATGTTTCTCAGACAAAAGGCTGTCAGTTTCACCTCATGTACACTTCTTGCAAAGTTAAGAAGAAAGTGAACTATCTTGTGCTGATGCTTCTACCAAAAATGGGAAAGTGAAAGCTTTATGGTACTTAGAAAACTGAGAGAGAATACCATTCCTTTGGAAGTAAGAGTTATTCTTACATGCTTACTATGCAAAGGGACTCTCTGCAGAAAGAATACAGCTTTAAAAGAGCATTGTGGCCTGACCAGCGTGGCTCAGTGGTTGAGCATCAACCTATGGACCAGGAGGTCATGGTTCGATTCCCGGTCAGGGCGAATGCCCGGTCGTGGGCTCAATCCCCAGGGTAGGGGTGTGCAGGAGGCAGCTGATCAATGATTCTCTCTCATCATTGATGTTTCCCTCTCCCTTCCTCTCTGAAATATATATTTAGGAAACAAAAAAGAGCATTGTGAAACCTCATTTCCCGTAACTTCTCTGTTACTTACATGGGCCATTTTATTAGTGACTCTGCACTTTGGTATATTGCTTCCTATTTGTATGGACATAAAGCATGTAATTCTTGAGTGACAGTAGGTTTTATGTATTTTACCTGGACCTCATTTATTTCAAATGATCTGAACAAGTCTTTACACACAATTAGTTGGAATTTTCTTAATTTGTGAGATTTAAATGTCTTTTTTAAAATACAATTTTATATTGTAGTGAATTATGATGCTTATTTTAATAATGGGGAGAAATAACAAAGAAATAAATCTGTAAAATAATATGCAAATATAATATCCTAAGCACACTCCAAATGATTTACTTTTTCTAATTTAAATTCCCTATACTGAGGACTGATTATATTAAAGTGTATATTTTAATTTTTTTCATTTATTTTTTCCTGTTAGAAAATAAAAACCCTGTGAAGTATTAGAAGTTTTATTTTATTAATACTTAGATAAGCCAACTTGTCTAAGCTTGTTGAGCTTAGACACATAGTTAATAAATATTAGAGCTAGTTCCTCTTTTGATTATCTTAATATTTATTTTTTAGAGCAGCTTTAGGTTCATAGTATAAGAGGAAGGTACAGAGATTTCCCATATAGCCTCTTCTTCCACATATGCATAACCCTCTACCCATTATCAACATCCCCCACAAGAGTGGCACATTTGTTACAATTGTGGAACCTACAGGACACATCATTATCACCCAAAGTGCACAGTTTTCACTAGGGTTCACTTTTGGTGTCATACATTCTATGGCCTTGGACAACTGTATAATGCCATGTATCCACCATTATAGGATCATACAAAATAGTTTCACTGTCCTAAAAAAAAAAAATCCCCCATGCTTCATGAATTCATCTCCCTCTCCACACAACCCC